ATAATATATAATTATATTAAAATTATACATTAATAAATATGTATATGAATGAAGAATTATGTATTATTTTATTTTTCATATTGAAAAAAATAAAAATGAAAATATTTTCAAAATTATCAATTAATTATTAATTGTTCATTATTTTACTCTTTAATATTAGAAATGTTAAATTAAATTTAGTTTGTATAATAACTTTTATAAATAAAAAATTTTTATTCGCTTTTATTTTTTTTATTATAAATATATATATGTAATTATTAATATCATATGTAGGATTTTAAATTAAATTGTATACATTTTTTAAATATAATTGAAACAAATTATAACAAATTTAAAAATCATACATATAACTTAAGAAATAATTTGATCCAACAAAATGTTCATTTAGATAAAGGGTATAATACATGTAAGTAGATCAGCTTAACATTAGTAAACATTGGTCGCATTCGCATTTTAATTTGAACAAAATTATTTATATCGTTGATAAAAAAGATAAAAAAGAATTATAACATAATATGATTCACAATAAAAATCTATTTTTTTTTTCTTTATGTAGCAATTAAATGAACGTTTATGATTACATATTGCATTACCGTGTTTATATGTATATATGTCTACATTTAATGCCATATTAAGTGGATTTTATCGTCAGTATAAAGTACATAAATATCAATAGTTATTGATATTAAATAAATAATCCTTTCGTTTCTGATCATGTTGTAATACCTATGAAATATTGATCCAATCAATGAAATTATTTATTTCGTTTTTGCGATGAATGATTACCACATCATTTATACATTAAAACAATTTTTACGCATCTCTGATTTAAATATCACACGCATTAAGCTAAAACATTCATTTAATAATATATTCATTATTAGCATATCAACATTGCAATGCGTTATTCAATCTGGCAATTATCATGAAATATTTTAAATAAATAATATAATACGTTTATATATATTTACGTATATATATATTTAGTGATAATAATCCATTAATTAAATGTATTTAAAAAATGTATTTACAATTTAAAAAAAAAATAAATTTTTTCAATTACAATTTATATATTTAAAAGTTGTATAAAATGAATTTGTAATGTACCTAATGACTCATTCAAATGATGTTATTAAAACAAAACAGTTGGCTTTTATTTTTAACATATTAACGAAAATATTTTTAATATAGCGTAGATAATTATGTTTCAGAAAATCAATTTTAATAATTTTGATTTTAGTATAAATTTTT